CCCCAAAACCCCAAAACCCCAAAACCCCAAAACCCCTCAATTATTTGTTAGAATAGAATTTTATTAATGTAAATATATCATACAAATCCTCACTTAAAGCCTTTGAAATTTACAACTGGTGATTTGCCATGCACCACTCAATTGAGTACTGAGACATAAGCAGACCAGCTGACAACCAAGTTCTTTATCAGACACTGTTCCGAACACTCAGAATCAAAGAACCAACAATGGATGAAATCAACAGCGCGATTGCTGACTCGTTCATCGATTTGACAGCTGGCATGAGATACCCAATGAGAAATTATCTTGATCTCAAGAAAATCTCAACCATCTTGAGACCTTTCCCAAGAATGAGTCAATTTCTGCAAACTGTGAGGATTCCTTACAACAAAGATGAACGGAGCCAGTTTATTTCTGCTCTGCACCACCCGAAGAGTTATCTTTGTGGGATCAATCTTGCTGACGATAAACTCATATCAACTGCTGTGTTGCTCAGGAACCACACTGAAATCGGCCAGAAGTTCACTACTGAGTTTTCAGATTGGAGACACAAAAACAAAGACAAAATCAGACCCTTCGGGTTTGTCACTCCGCATTGCTTTATCGCTCAAGCAAAACTTGCGAAGAACCAGGACGAGCCTTCTGGCTCCATGATCTGAAGCAGCGCTGCCATCAAAAAGTATCTCAGTAAATATGCTGACGCTTTTACAAAGCTGTTTGCATCAAAGCAGTTTGTCCATGTGTATCTGGAACAAGGCATGGATGAAATGGAGTTCACAGAAGCTGAGTCCAATGTCAGCGATCTTATCTCAGAATACACAGAATACTCAGGCAATTACTACTCGGATGGTGAAGGCGAAGGAGAACTTGATACTGAAGACTAATCAACTGCTCAACTTCTGATGTTTACTGCTGTTGTGTCATCTCTGAGACTTTAGATATCAAGATATTTCAATTTCACAAATGCCAGCAGGGGTTTTGGGGTTTTGGGGTTTTGGGGTTTTGGGG